AGCAAGATATCCAACACCACACAGCATCCTCACACAAGGGGTGTCCTCTTTCCATCCACTCGCTCCCTGAACACTCTGTCCGTTAGCCTCAGATTCCAAATGCCAGCTCCCAGCAAGCCCTGGTCTCTCCTCTTGCTGCCCTCTTTTCTCTCTGCTGCTGGTGGCGGTGGGGCTGGATCGAGTAAGGATTTATTGCTGGTCACGGCACGATGCCAGCCATAACTGACACCAAGAGCCAGAATCGCTACAAGTGGCTCCGTGTCTCCCTTTCAATCCTACACGGACACTTGGTTCATTTGAAACACAAGGCAGTGGAAGAAAATGGACTCAGTATTTTGATGAGTTTGGATTCCCAGTGCCTTTATCAAGGCACAATGGGCACCTTGCCAGTTTGGGGGTGGGGTAGGGGATGAAGGGAGGAGAGAGAGAGAAGCCAACAGATGTTTTGAGTTATAAATTTTCTGTCTGAGCTGGTAGCATCCCCTCTGTGGTTCTGCTGCCTTTGGGGTTTGAAAATGGAGTTGCTGCCTATTTTAGCTCTGGGTTAGTAGCCTTTCTCTCCCCATTAGCTCCTGTCATAGTTCACTGCCTGGTTAGGCCCTTCTGGCTCCCGCCTGCCCCCCGAGGCATCCTCTTATAGCAGGGTATTATGTGGAATGGCAGGGCACTTAGGGGAAAAGAGGAATTAACTTTGTTCTGTAATCAACTCCTTTTGGTTTCCAGATACAAGCTCCACCCCACCCAGCAACAGTTTCTAGACAGAGCAGGGTGGACAGATGGCTTCCCATCCAACATATGAGGCAACCTGCTTCTATACATGGCACTGCTGGTCACTTGGGGGGCGTCTCGGGAGGTCAAAGAAATGAAAGGCTGCCCAAACTCAAACCACCAAACACACCAAATTCCCATTAAAAACAACAGTTTAGGACAGAGTAGAACTGCTCCATAGGGTTTCCAAAGCTGTAAATCTTTATGAAAGCAGACTACCACTTCCTTCTCCCACAGAGCCACTGGAGGTTTTGAACCCATGACCTTTTGGTCAGCAGCTGAGGGCCTTAACCGCTGTGCTACCAGGGCTTCTGAAAGGCTGCCCAGAGGGGTCAAATCTGGGTTAGGCTACAAAACCTCTCCATCCAACCCTGACCGAACAATGAGTGTTACTGTTGAACAGGTAAGAACAATGATCCACCCTGTTAGCAGGACAGGCAGAGCTGGAGGTTCAGCATCACAGTCCTACTGCCCCATGGCCCTCATGGTGACTTACACCTCAACCATGACTATTCTGCATGTGAATGGAAGAAACTGTCCAAATGCATTCCTACCTTCCTCCTCTCAGAATAGGAAACTCCTATCTTTCCTCGGCACTAAGTGCTATCCAGTAGATTTGGAATCATGTTACAGTAGACTGACAGACGTCACAGGAGACTTGTGCTCCACAGATTTTTCAGAGGTAGAATGCCACGTCTTTCTTCAGAGGAACCTTTGGGTGGCTTTGAACTGCCAACCTTTCAGTTAGTAGCTTAGCACTTAACTGTATCACCCAGGGGCTCCACCTTTCCTTGGAATAGGTTTCCAGTCCAAAAGTCCCAGGAAAAACAACACCTTTGTCCAAATCAGCATTTAAGAAGGACAACTTCTATCATGCTGCAGTCTTGAACTGCCCAGAAATCTCTCACAAGAGCCAGGTTTTTCCCATCGGGGAAAAAAAAAAAAAAAAAAAAAAAATCTTTAGAAGTGGGCAAATGGGTAGTTCCTAGGATGATATCTGATCACAGAATAAGTATGAAGTGAAATAAAATATATGGCAGAGGGCAGTGACAACAGGTGTGTCTACAATTCTGGGTGAGGGGGCTGTTTGGCAGGGAGTCAGGGTCCCAGCACTCCCCATGCGAGGCTCATCTAGAAAGATCACCTCTAGCTCACTCAGGTTCTTTGCCTAGAGAATTGTTTCAGCATTTACCACCCACCACAATCCCACATCCTGGGGACGCTGTAGATGTTGGTGAACCTGTGGAGTCAAGTTCCTGAATCAGGGGGTTCACCAAAGGAAGAGCTAAATTCTTTTTCTTGGTAGGCAGGCAGAAGGACTGTCTACCACAGAATTTAAGACCTGAAAGGAAAAATAGGGATTGTCTGGTTTAGTCCTTCTTGATTTTGGTGAATGAGGAAACTGAGGTTCAGATACAACTGGTCGAGGTCACTGGTGAGCAAAGATGAGATAAGGATGCGGGCGTCCTGATAACTACCCATGCCTTCTCCAACACATGGTGCAATTTCCTGAGACTGGCGAGTTACATAAAGACATTTTATAGCACTTCAATTATTGAGTGGTTTAAACTCTTCATAAATTCCTTTTTCCCCTAATGGAAGAATGTCAAGCTAATGTGATTAAGGATAATGATATTTGACATGGTTTTAAGTTACTATACAATTAGGCCTCCCCACTTAACAAAAAAGTCTTTAGTTTGCTCAGACCTTCTTCTGTTGAAGTCACAACTAAACACGTGTCCTCAGGAATGAAATCTGGCCCATATAACAGTGATTCAGACCAACAGATGCCCAGATTCTTACACTCTCAAGCTGTCTTCTAAAATACAAAGCTATTGCTATTTATACACACATACCTCTGCTCTTCAATGAGCCTTAAGCTGTGATTCAGGGTACACTACTTTGCCTGCAGCAAAGGCACCCATATGTTCTTTGTTCTTTTCATCCTTTAAAAACTATGATAGTAACATTTTAACAAGTAGCAATTCAGTACCAAACCTATCTCTTCATTAAGAACATGGGACTTTTTTATTTTTACCTGATGACTACCTGCCTTTACTGTATCTCCACACACAGCTATGGGAAGCGTGTTAGAGAGTAAATTCTAAAGCACTTGGGTTTGTGGAAGGCTATAGTCTGCAGTGGGAGCTTTAGTTTCATTTTGAGGCTTGACATAAACTTTTAGATGCCATTTGGGTGCTTTCTATTAAGCCAGCACTATGGCTATACATGGGAGCTCTGGT